AGTAAAGACCGGATAAAATTATTTATACTAATTATTCATTATAGAAGAAGCCGGATTGAGCACGAGATTATGAAAATTTATTTCAAAAGCGGAAACCAATATCGACTCGTAGTTAATGGTGAAAGCTAAGCGTGACGCATGCGACGAATGCAACGTTACTATTCAGTGCAACTGAATAGATTCGGTTCAATATCAATCGTCTATAGAAGCGAACGATCGTATAATCGTCGTTCGAACCGGTGAGTGTAGAGTTTCAACAATATCGTTCACATGGCACTAAATCACTTCCTATTCATTAATCATCAAGCGGTACGTTACGTCAGTGAATTTATATCTCATTTCGGTATATTTTGCCTGTTCTATTAAATTCATGTAGTGTACGAAAATAAAAATTCCTTATTTCAATAGTTTCAATAAAACATTATATTGCTACACGGACAATCAATTGATATTTAAACGAAATTTTTTGAACAAAGTTGGAATTCTGGAATTATCTTTCTGTTAAAAATTAACAAAAAAATTTTAAATAAAATTTTTGTTAATAAATAAACTATATAATTTGTATATAAATTTTTGATCTATCTAAAAATCAAATTATTTTTATTATTACAAAAAAAAAACAAATTTTGTTTCAATTTATTTTCTTGCAAAAATTCTTGATAATTATCAATTTAGAAAATAATATTGTTTACATAATACGCTTCACTTTTGATGAAACTATTCAGCTATTTAATAATGTCGTAAAATATTTTAAAAATACGACGTGATGAGCCGCAAATTCCGTAATGATTATTGCCAACTAAAGTTAGCTTCGTGCAAATATTTCTGTAAGACCATCGGAAGTTCAAACAACGCCGAGGCTTTCAAAACCCCAGCCGGTGCAGAAAGCGACGTGTATGGCCAGCCGAGTATGAACGAACCGCATTCCCGCGGTCAACGAGTAGTGCGGGTCGTCGTTTGGTCGGGCAGTGGATATAGTTAAACGACATTGCTCAGCACTCAAGTAATTTTCGTTCTTTTGTACACGACTAGCACCAAGCTGAGCTAATCCCTCTTGTACACGAATCTCTTAGTTCTTGGCAGCGAATATTTTCCGGTACAATTGAACCTTTTATGTATGTACTTTTGATTTGAGCTATTCAATCCCGTTGCGTAAAATTCAGAAATATAAAAGTAGAAATGCTTATAATACGTTTATTTTCCCTAAAAATTGATGAATTCCATTCAGCCAAGTGATGATTTTATCAAAAATTAATGTTTCATGACAGATTATACATATAAATTCTCAATGTAAATGTTGCATGATAAATAAATTGTTTCTATAATCAATCATCAGTTGAGAAAGAAAAAAACCATCAATCATTTTTCCAAAGAATTTACGTCGGAGGCGAGCATGTTTTCTCTTTCGCTCAACAATCTCGTAAACAGAATAATGCACGGAACAAAGGATATGTTTTATCTACATGACTCTTTCATATAATCATACAATATGGGAAAATACTACGGTTCGTTCTATACTGGTAGAGATTATTTGCGGCGAAGATTAAACTTCGGCCATCGTGTACGATTTTCCTCTATATTCACAAGTTACCTTGCTGGCAAAGGCGAAGGCCTTAGAAAGTGAGTAACGAGAGCTTTGATACCTTCCTTGAGAAATAATTCACTGTTTCGTTCTCGTAAATTTCAAATCTCGGCGACAGGCAAACATCCACCGGCACCGCTTGGATGAGCAAGGCTTAATAATTTATAATCTCTGTCAAAGCTGCACATCTCTTTCTCGAAAATACCACTCGTTTCTGAGGTCATCGACCTCAAAGAGTACAAGGTGCGGAAACAATGAGCGAGCTATGTACACTACTGTTACTATCTTCTTCTCGCGTTGCTTCCCTTTCGGTCTATCTTCATTAAGCGAGGTAATCCCGCGAGAACAATACTCTCGCGTATGCTATACTAAATATATGCATAAAAAAAACTTCTATAGCTTACTGTTAAATCGTTTTGTGTCATCATTGAAGTCATTTGTTTTTCCGCTGAACAATCATTTGACAAATTGCTCCAAAAAAGCCTCTTTGACTTTGATAACAATACGTGACTATATATAGGATTTACACTCGAAAGGTTTATTTTTGCACAATGTCCAAAGCCGATGCTACATAATAGTTTCGAAAATAATAAAAATGCAATATTTATAATATACTTCGTTACAACTAACTAGTTAATAATTATTATTATGTCGTCATATTTTTTAATAAGCAATTGCACTTCTGATTAATTGTAGTTTAATTAAAGTTTAAAATTTATATACATCTTGTCGAAAAAAGCTTATCCATATCTTGCATTTAATCTTCCTACAAATTACTACCTTTATCTTTTAAATACAATTAGAATAGGGAAAATTATCTATTATAGAGTGGCGGCCAGAATGGTGTATGGATAGTAAGCGTGATTATACTGTCGATTGGCACCTGGGTGGGCAGAGTCGGGCCACGTCCAGCAGATGGAGAGCTCGCGCTTCTGACGTCGCCGCGTGAGCGATTGGAAACCGTTCGACAGGTTCTTTCTGAGGTGCCTTTGATCGACGGCCACAATGACCTACCGTGGAACATCCGCAATTTCCTTCACAACCAGTTGGCGGAATTCGATTTCGACAGGGATCTACGTCAAGTCGCGCCTTGGAGCAAAAGCGCTTGGAGTCAGACCGACCTGGTCAGATTGCGACAAGGCATGGTCGGCGGTCAGGTAATTGCAAAAGGATATCAAAATAAAATAATATATAATAATTGAATTTAATCTTGATAATATTCTTCGATAGAAATGTTGGAGTCAACATTTTTTGGACAAAACTTTAAATAGATTATTAATCTTTATTCATAATTATTCCCCTCCCCCTCTCCCCTCCAAAAAATATTTTACCGATAAGCAGGGAATTTCTCTTAGCATTTTTTCTAAACAGAAAATCTTACATGAATCAGGCGTGTGTATTTGTAACACGTATTCATCTATAAAAATGAGGACATATGAGCTATGATCAAAAATAAATTCCTCTATATAAAAATTTTTATTATAATAATTCGAATAGCCTTTTAAAATAAGAGGATATATTGTATAAGATGTTAGCGGCACGCTTATTTGTTAGAAGTTTGTCATTTACGTGCTACCGTAGTACGCGTGCATGTCAGTACATGCAAGACATTTTAGCATTAAGAGGATTGCAAACCTAAATCCAGCACTTTATATGAAATTCCTTTACTTTGTAGAGTATCTTCTTGAGGTCGTATATAAATGGAAAATCCTCTGGTATTAACAGCAGCACTAAATGGCAGAATATTTTTTTTCTGGATGTTATAATCAGAATTGAAATGTATAGTTAAGTGTATTTTTAACTTGACGTCCGAGACATTATCGTATCTCCTGATATATAACCTTTCTTGATATTGAATCTAATACTAACCTGCACAAAAAACACGTTCAAAAACCAAATTGCATTATTATGCATTGTAGTAAGCAATCTAGACTCAGATATTTCGCGGAAACCGTACTAGAGATGACTAGGCGAGTTTCAGGTGTCGGCGATATTATGAGCGTGACGGATTGAATGCATCGATTATCGTCGCATGCAAGCACTCAGGAGCTCGTTAGGTCTGAATGATGCGAGCATTAAGCGCGTATCATGCTTGCACGCACACATATATTGTAGAAATGATCTAAAAGAAAATAGATACTGCATACAAAGAATAATGAATAAGATTTATAATAATCTTGTTGAATCTTTTTGCTTGTCATGTCAGTGAAATTTAAAATTAAAACACTATGTTTGTTCTAGCTTAAGAATAATGAAAAAAAAGTCATTTTAATAAAATGCAACAATTATGAGAGAAGTTGTATGAATTCGTAAGATAAAACAATGTTTTTAAACGCAAATAACAACAGATTCCAACATTTTTTTTTTGTAAAGCGAAGAGAAAAATTGCATAACTGCAACCGGAAATTACATTCTTCTGCATATTTATGACATTATTGTGTATATAAGTATGCAACATATATTATAAAATATTATATTATTATTATATAGTAATATTTTGTCACCTTAATTAATCTGTGATCTTTTTGGTAAATGTAAATTGAAATATATGTTTAAATTATAAATATATTTCTCTCTAAGAAAATAAAAAGGACATAAAAAGCATGCCACATTTTCCACGCTTTTCTTGGGATTTCTCTTTAAATATACGAGAGAAATATAGTTGTTCCCAACTACCTGCGCAATCTTTTCCGACAATTATATATAATTTTTTTTTTCTAGTTTTGGGCTGCTTACGTACCGTGTGAATCTCAACATCTTAACGCGGTTCAGCTGACTTTGGAACAGGTAGATCTCATTAAGAGGCTCATAGAAAAATATTCCCAGCATTTGCAGTTCGCTGCATCGTCGAGGGGTAAGTGCAGCTAACCGTAATGCGAGACGTAGAATGTACGAAAATAATATACTGCGATTGACAGAGTGACAACTGTATTCAACTATATTTCTAACTTCTAGAGATTTTGGAGGCTCACGGTAGGGGCAGAATAGCTTCTCTGATTGGAGTGGAGGGTGGGCATAGTCTAGGAAGTAGTTTAGCCGTTTTAAGAACACTTTACCAGCTGGGTGTACGGTACCTTACACTAACACATACTTGCAACACTCCATGGGCGAAAAGTTCGTCGGTGGAAGACGACGATGAAGATGGTAAATTAGATGCAAGTTTGGAATAAACATCTTCTTCAGAACGAACAGAACTGAAACTTGCGAACTTAATCTCATAAAGATTCATGAATCTACAAGTATAGTTAAAAAATTAAATTGCAATAAAAATTTTTAATAAATAAAATATTTTTGATCAACTTTTTTTCTGAAAAGTTATATTTAATTTCGTAGTTATATATTCTGTAGTAATTATATTTTCTTTCGTAATTATATTTTTTATAGTTATATTTAAAAAAAAATT